TGCAGTTGTTGCTGTTGTTGTAGTTGTTGTTGTTGTTGTTGTTGTTGTTATTGCGGTTGTTGTTGTTGTTGCTGCTGTTGTCGTCGTTGAGGATCACTTTGCGATGTCAGTATTCATTTATTCACATGTTTTGTTTATTTGATTCCTCTCTCCCTTTATCCTTGGTTTTTGTTTATTTGTGTCATTCTCTCCATCCATCCATTAATCCATCAATTCATTCTTCCATCCATCCATCCATCCATCCATCCATCCATGCATCATCCATCTTTTTATCCATCTATCCATCCATCCATCCGTCCATCCAATAACCAATCCAACTCTCCAACAATCTCGTGATTCGTCGATTTTATTCATATCTGTCTGTCTGTCTGTCTGTCAGTCTGTTTGTATGTCTGTCTTTCTGTCTGTCTGTCTGTCTGTCTGTCTGTCTGTCTGTCTGTCTGTCTGTCCGTCTGTCTGTCTGTCTCCTTATTACCTATCCACCTATCTATTTATTAATTAATGTACTTATTTGTACTTAATCATGTACTTTAATGTTTATTCATCTATCCGTTTATTACAAAATGTATATTGATATATTTTATGTTAGCTTATTTTTATGGGGCTTTTTTTCGTTTGTATATATGTTTATTTGTTTGTTTGTTGTTGTTGTGGGGTAGTTGTTTGTTGGTTGTTGTTTTTTGGGGGGGTGCTTTTTTGTTTGTTTGGTTTGGTTTTGCTTTTTTATCTATCGTTTGGTACAAACGACCTCGCAGTACTTCTTCCGGGGTCTCTGTTAAGTTGTATGTCATGAGTGAGCAGGTGAGGAAACAGCCAAGCGTGACAGGAAGTCACACACCAGCCCCTGTGTCCATCCGCATCCAGGTGGTCAGTTCAGTGAGCCCGGGGTCACAAATATGTCGGGGATGGGTGGCGATGGTAGTATGTCAGTGTGGGTAAACCCTTGGACTTACATGCCACGACATTTACCGGTGTCTGTGGTGTGCTTGTTACTCGCTTTCAGCAGTTCCGATTCCAGTGTGGGGAAATTGTTATTTTTTTTCGTAAAATCGAGTATGTCGGTATATCTGTGTGTAGGTAGTCCTTCGTTGCCGAAGATGACGATGAATCCTGTAGCTCATCTGTTGACACCCATGTGGCTATGCAATCCGATCCTGGATGAACAATGTGCTTTGCAATCCGATCCTGGATGAACAATGTCGATATTTCTGCTGGGATGCTATATCCCTCTCAGCCAGGGGCAGTCCTGAGAGGATAGGTCGGCGCCCGCTTCCTGAATTTTTCGAGTTGAGTCAATGGGGGCGTAAAAACAGCTTTATTAAGGGGGGGGGGGTTACACCTGAAGGCTATCTCGCTTTTTACTGGGTCGAATTTTACCAAATTTCACTCATACAACAAGCATAGTAAGGAGTTTTAAAAACCGCAAGCAAATTTGAGAAAAATGTTTGTTTCCATGGATACGGCGGCCATATTGGATTTTGTTGAAATGTCTTACGTAATGAACACCGCACTTGTCGCTCATGGAAATTGATTGGGTTTTTTTCTTGCATGCGTGTTAACAAACATTAGATCTAAAAATGTGTCTGTTGTTTTTTTCCTAAACGAATTAGAAAATTTTTAATGAATTTTTTCCTGAGGTAGCATTCAAGTTTGCAAAAAATCCGTGAAAATCCACACTCCAGACACCACCAACAAAAATCTATTCCATATATCAAAAATTCAACAGACGATTTGTTAGTATTACATCTTCTCCTCATTCTGTGAAAATGTCATGAAGATTGGAAGAAAAATGGTGGAGGTATTCAAAATAGTATAGAGGAAAGTCGCAT